ATGCTCTCATTATCTAATTATCTATTACGCGACTAATTCGTAAGCTACGTATAAAATATATAAATACAAAAATATATATATTATTAAGCATTATTATAATACATATACTATCTATTTTCTACATGGTACAACGAATATCCTATAATATATTATAATATAATATAAAATACTATAATATATTATACAATTATTTTATAATATATTATAAAATACTATAAAATTTCACTGATGTAATACCTCACAGAGTCTGGTGTTTCTGTTCGGCGTCCAGCATTCTCGTCCGATTCTGCGAATCCATTCAGCTCTACGAACAGAATCAGACTTTCCAGACGGTAAAAGATGGAAAACTTTTCCTTTTACTTGCCGCGAAAAGCAGCCGTCTGCACAACACTGCGGCATTTGCTACAAAATTAGCGTTAACGCTTTTTTCATATTCTTTTAGTTACACAAGTAGACATCAGACCACATCAAACAGGTTATGCCGTCTTTGTTATGTCGAGAAAGAGAATGATGGGTGGAAAAGGGAGGGAAACCAATAGGAACACGCGGTTCTCGGCATTTTCGCAAGATCAAAATTTTCCGACTTTTGCGCTACTCTTATAACACCAACGTCGTTCTATTCTTGTTCAATTTTTAGTAAATAACAAAGATAGAACGACGCGGTGTGCACCCGAGTAAAATTTTTGAACGCAGCCTAGTACACTTTTTGGTAAAGTGAACTTAAGGCCGGTTTCACCATCTCCGATGCCAACCAGGATTGGTCAAATGCAATTGGTCAGTTCCAATGGAATAATCGGCTGATTAAACTAATCGGAGATGATGAGGCCCTTATAATTAAAACGGAGAAAAAATTGACCAATCATATTTAAACAGTTCGGCAATTGACCAATGCCGAACTGTTTAAATATGATTGGTCAATTTTTTCTCCGTCCGAGATCTCGGAGCGATTTCTAGCATCGTGGACACAAGACTTTTTTTATGTGCCTGGATCACAAATTAATATAGGCCCGGATAAACTTGAGACCAGAATTTCCGTGATTTGATTACTGACAGACTTTTGCCCCTAGATTTGAATCCGCTGGACTAAATATATAAAATATGTATATATATGAAATCTATTATATTTATAGTGCATTGATAATTTACCTAATGTTATAATTAATTTGTATTTAACAAAATACCAACATTCGATAAATTCACACGCTGTCGGTAATTATCAACGTCAGTTGATCGACAGAATTTAAATTCAAAAATTGGCAAAGTAAATTGTATATTAATAATAATATGATAATCTATTTCTATTGTGTTATAAAACAGCGATCTATGTTAGAAATATATAATATTATATAAAATTTATTATATAATAGATATATATCAATAGTAATCTAATAAGTGAATAGATTAGATAATTATATACGTTACGCTTATGATATAAATCATTATTTTATATTGAATAATACAGATAAATTATTATATTACCTCACTATAATCACACTAAAATACATATCTGAATAAAAAAAAAAACACATGTAAACTACAAAAATTATTTTCTATTACATTATTTATTGCAATTACTGATTACGGATTTAATTTCCATTTCATCTTAACGTTCCGCGTTCTTCCGCTGATCTCAAGATCGAGTACATTGCTAGTACCAGCAACAACAATATCATCGCGAGAATGACCCAAATTCACAATTTGAGATTCATATTTCAAGTGGCGAACAGTTTAACCTCCGCATTTGCAAATTCACTTTATTTGCACGCTCCATCGTGCACCCCTCGGTCCTTATAACATTCCGAGTGTTCTAAGATCATCTCCGAACGGGGGTACTGGGGGGGTACCACTGATTGTGAGCGACAGCGACGGCGGCGGCGGCGGTACGCGCGATCTACGTGCTGGTACGATCGCTGTTTGCCGCGTGGCATCGGCGGAAACGGCCGTGGATCGCCGAGCGAGCGAGCGGGCTCGTCGCTCCGGAGTCGCGCCGACACTGCCGACAGTTGCATGTCGGATTTTGTGCCGTTCGTATAGTATCGCCCCGGCCGGCTGACTGTCCTCGCACGGCGAGACGGTGAGTAAATCTGCCCTGTAAACCGTCCGTTCGCGAAAATCGGTTTTTGCGACTCGCGAAACTCGCCGGAGCCGCGATCGCGCGCTCCGCCGCGTAGAGCGATATAAGAGCCGATCTTCGATCACCTTCGCTCGAGCGCGCGATTGAATCGTTATATTTTCGACAGGTGTAACTGGCGATATTGTCTTCGTGTAATACGTCGCGAGTACGTACTCGATATTTCGATCCGCCGGGGATAAACTTTGCGAATGTATAAGAACAACAAGGCCGGTGCGAGCGTCGAACGAATCGGAGATCAACTTGTGCTAGCGACGCGATTCAAAGACAAGTTTGGAGAACCGGTAACTCCAGAAATATAAACAGTTGATACAATACGGAATATTATTCTCCTGGTTTTCCCAATATTTTGCAATTAATTTCTGAATAGAAATTCCGATATTTCCAGTTTCGAAGACGCGAAAGTAAACTCGCGCTGAAGGGAAAGCCATGATGTATCGATTCTTCATCTATTTTAAAAGATGTCCTGTTTTGCAAAAGATAATAATTTAAAGGAATAACAAATTAAAGGAAAACGTTAATGATAATTTATCGAGATAACACAATGTTCAAAATTGGGACATAAGACGTCTTATGATATAACGTCTTAAGTGTGTTATTTGGATAAATTATATATTATTAACGTTGTCCTTTAGTAAATCATCTTTTGCAAAACAGAACATTTATTAAAATTAAACTCTTAAAATTAAGACGTCTTATGCCCCAATTTGAGACATTGTGTTGTCTGGGTAGGTATTAACTTCAGCTCTTGCATCGCCAAGAAGTGGACTTGGTTTACAATTTTTCTTAACACACACTCATATTATTTATACAACTTACAATCTTTATATTTATTACTACCTATTCTAAAGGGAAACGTTAAAATCAACACATTCGTTGTTACCAATTTGGTCAACAATAAATAAGCGGGGCAAATGATTCAGGCGCTCGGACGCGCATAAGCTTTACGTAATGTATCACCGTATCCCTTTTACGGCGGCGCGGCGGAGCGGGAATGAAAAATCGCCGTTGGGAAGTCTTTTTCCTTTATGTGCATGCACGCTCGCCGGTTTATCTAGTCCGTGATTAGGAGAGTGGAACGGGGGGGGGGCGGGCGGGCGCGGCGCGCGGCAGTGCACCTGCAGCAAAATGCGCGAATGCAAAAGCGCGCGGCGCGGCCTGGCCCGTGTGAATTAGTGTGTGAACCTGCGTAAGCGCCTACGTGCACCTCGGTAAAACAATCCCGGTGGCCGGGGGCTGGGGGACGAAAACGGAAGGGGGGGGGGGAGGAGAAAGAGAAAAATTGCCCGCGCTCTCTTGCGCGTAATGTACGATGATACGCGGCACCTCGTTCGCGAAACGCTCGGCGTTTCGATTGCGAAATATATAGGCGGGTGGATGAGTACCTTTGCAAAACCGTAATCACCGTTGCCGGTTGCGCCGTTTTTCCGCGTGTTTTCGCAACAGCGTCGTTTTTTCTTTTTTTTTTAAGAGAAAGAGAGAGAGGGGGAGGGAATTACGAAAACAATGATCTTAGACCTGAGCCAGATCCCGATAACGATATACAAGTGATAACGACGTGTGAAAGAATTTTTCTCAGATAAGTCCGATATACAATGAATCAGAGCGAATTGCGAGCGGTCGCTGTTTAAAGCGTTCGTATTTGCACTTAATTTTCTATAAGTATATGTGTATTACATGTCGCGAGTCGCGTTCTTCGTTAAGATTCGAGATGGTCTTAATTACCGCGCGAAATTCCTATATATAATTACGCCTTATCTCGGATTTCTTATCGAACGCGTCGTGTAATTACGGGACGCTCGGTGTTACGCCGTTCTTCTGCAGTTTAATCATTCATGCCGCGCGTCATATTAATCGCGAACCTTAATAGGGACAGTTAAACCAATTTCACGATTCCTCGGAATTCCTCCCCATTAATCGTTGTTGCTCGAAAGAAGCATCATCATCAACGAGTCCAGTAATCATGATTAGCTTTAAATTCATAGAGTGCGACCAGTTTGCTCTCGAGTATCTTCAAACTCAGTCGAAATCTTTCGTCTGAGAGAAATTGAGTACTTTACACATATATTTTTGAATACATTTTTTTCCGCGAGATATCGAGATTATCCCGACTTCAGCGACTCTACAAGGGACCACGTGCGATACGCTCTCACGTGTTAATATATCTTCGGTATATTTTCACACAGCCACAGTCTAATGATATCTACGAAACTCATCGAAATAATCGGAGATAGCGACGAGCGTTCACCCCCCGTTGTCTCTTTTAGCGAAAGTGCCGCGGCGAAAGTGAGTCGACAGAATCGAGATTACCCCCGTCGCGAAAAGAGCTTCGCTGTCATTTTAGCGGATCCTTTCGACGAACGTGTCGTGTACGGATGTATTATGACGCGGCACGGAGTCGCGTTACGCAACCGCGGAAAAAGAGTTGCACGATCCTATATATGTATATGTAGGTGGGCGAGTGCCGTGTGCTGTGTGCCGTGAGAGACATCGAGGACGCCCATGACTCATCCACGGTCTCGATCGGCGGGTGCACTTAAACGGCGGATCGTCGCCACTTCCGATCGCGCCGTTCCCGAGGCCAGTATCGATCGGTTCTCTCTTTCACGGAGAATAAATCGTCCGTCAATTTGCATACCGAGCCTCGGCTACGGCGAGCACTCGCCAAGATCAATTTCCGGCCGTTTTGAGGGATAAATATTACACACATTGTTAAACCGATGACATTTGCGATGCATTTTGCAAGGAGTCACGTTACATCATTGATCGAAAAAAGTTGACATATATACACCAATAAAAAAATCTTGAAATGAGATTATATTATGTTAAACGAAGAAAACTTGTCTGAATAAAATCATTTATATTATAGAACTAGTGATTTGCTTCAAAGGCTTCGATATTCGAAGATTCGTTCGTCATAAAAATCTTCGAAGATCAAAGTTTCGAAGAATCACAATAATACAATTGTTAATTTAACACAATAGTATAATAGTACTGCAAATAGGCACACATTTATTAAATTATACAACAAAATCCGAATAAAATTTTTAATGTTGCTATTATGTAGTTTATGTCGCAAATATATTTTTCGAAGACACCTTAAACTTCGAAGGTTCGAAGCTATAGAAGAATAACAGCCCTAATTTATATAGTTAGTTATTAAACGAAGTTTTACATAGTTCAATCACGAAAAAAAAGTTGAAATAAAACGTTGAAATTCTTATAAAAAGATTATATATCTATTGTTGCGTACATATACTAATATCTCAGTGTTGATTTAACACTTCTTTTTTTCGTGTGACCAATGCCATTTAATGGTGACAAGCGGAATAATAAGCAGTTAAATTAGCGGTAATATCCGCATATTGCGCAAATTAATGGAGAATCTGTCCACTAATATTTCGGTGCATCGAGAGATACGGTCGAACTATTTTGCCAATTGTGCCGCTCCATTAATCGGCGCAAAATGCTGAGCGGAACTGGATGCAAATTGGAGATCGCGGGACCGAAAGCTCGACCCACACTGCACTCGATCTAATCACCAAGTGCTTTTGATGACGGCGATGGTGCGAAGGTTGTTCCAATTAATGTTAAACGACGTAAAATGATGAAATATACATCGCCGCGGCCGTGATTGAAACAAGAAACTCATCATCGCGCGGCGAATTTATTATAATTAGATCTCGCGTTTGCTGAAGTTTATTAATTAACATTCTGGGGGGATAAATTACTGTATTTTAATAAACGCATCTCGAACTGTATTAACATATTATTACTCGCTGACTTCATTTTCGATATTGCGATCCGGAATAATTTCCGCAAAGAATGTTTAGTAATGCGATTAATGTCGGACTAATAAGTTTCAATATTACACGAGGATTATATCCCACGTTTTTTAAATTGTAGATACGCCGCTAATAAAATAATAGATAAAAATGTCACAGATATATGGTTCTATTTTCTCGAGAAAGCTACATATATTTAAAAAAAAATGTTTTCTTTTATTTTGGCCGTGGGTTTTGGTGCGGTAAATTCGGTGAGCGCTCACGCGTGTCTCCCTGTTTCGGTATGCCGGTCCCACCTGCCGTTTCCTGCTTCCTCTCGCGTCCCTTTCATTCCCTCCCGACCGGGCCCTTTCAATGGATTGGGGGCCTGTCGCGCGGTACGCGTCAGCGCGAGGCACCTCCGCACGCAAAGTGCATTCGGATCCGATCCCGAGGTGCGCATTAGCGCGCGATTGTCTCCGCGAGAGCGTGAGGTCGCGCGAACGAAGGCGCGGAGAACGCGAGAGGCACCGCGCCTCTCGCTCGGAGAACAATACCGGGAAAGCGATCTCTGACAGGTCGGGCGGAAGAAGAGCAAAGACGCCGTGCCCGTGCGAGGCGACCCGGGGGGGATCGATACCACCGCGCCTTGCTGTGCCGCGAATTAAGAAAAAAAAAGGGAAAAGAAAAAAAGGAAAGGGTTAACGAGACGACGGGAAGAGGAAAGGAGGAAAACGACGCAACATCTGGACGTTACGGTTTCTTCTGCTATATAGTAGAAGAAGGTGAACGAACCGAAGGCGAACGATTCCTCACCTCTCTCTTTTTCCTCTTCTCTCTCTCTCTCTCTCTCTCTCTCTCTCTTTTTCTCTTTGCAATGCAGCTCGCATCTCTCGGAACGCAGAAAATTGCTTCTTAGCATGCTTAGACGCCGCGACGTGTTGCAACATTGTTCGCCTCATCGTTCGGCCGTATCGCTTCGGTATAGGGATCGATTTAAGGAACCGTTTCGATATACGTCGTCGCCATTGTTCATCACGCGGAGATTCGTTCTTGTGGATTAGCGCGATTCAAAACGCATGCACCGCCGCGTCGCGTCGCCGCCGTCCCGTAGCCGCGATGTCCTGCGGATCGATGCAAGGATTTACCGCTGGCTTTTACCGTTACGATATCTCTAACGGGATGCGGAGAGTACGACAGAAGGAACAAGGCAATTTCTCGCGCTTTCCAGATCGACCGCGCGTTCCCAGCAGTTGCGACTGCTACTCGACACGGTAATCGCGGTGTAATATATCAAGTAACAATTGCGGGCATTCAGAGTCTTTATTTAGCTACTCCACCGAACTGTACCGAGTTTTGCGTTTTGTCACGAGCTCGTCTCAGATATTTTATTTTAGTTTAGAACGAAACATGAAATTAGCGCATTCAAAGGCGTAACAAACTGAAGACAAAAGAAAGTAAAGATAAATAAAAGTAAAGATGATTAATTGATTATACCTAGATTTTTATACAGGGTGTTCCAGGTAAAATTTCAGGGTATTGTAGGAAATTGAATTTGGAACAAAAAAGTTCCTATAAATATAGGAAACGCTTCGTTGAAAAGTTATAGCTATAATAAACTTTAAAAAATTATGGTTTTTTTATTATTTTTAAAAATATAACTCTTCGAAACTTTTTATTTATTTGAAAAAAGTAACAAAATAAATTTTATAGGTAATTAAATAACAAACTAAATTACATTCCTAATTTCATTTAATTCTGATAAGGCCTTGAAAAGAAAATAAGCTCAAAACAATTAAAAAAGCAGAAACTTGAAAAAACTATTATTTGATGATCTTTGTATAAACACTACATTCGTAGCATTCGCACTTTAGTGTAACAATTAGTAGATAGTTATTTTTAAAAGTCACTAAAGAACGTGATTTTTTTAAATTTTTATTAGCTATAACTTTTTAACGAATCGTTTCTGGCCTTATGTTTATACGAGATTTTTTTGTTCCTTTAATATCCTATAAGACCCTGAAGTTTTATTGATCTGACCTGGAACACCCTGTATACGGAGTTTCGCGTTTTGTCACGAGCTCGTCTCAGATTATTTTATTTTAATTTAGAACGAAACAAAATTGGGGCATTTGAAGGCGTAACAAGCCGAAGACAAAAAAATACAATAAATAAAAGTGCAAATGAATACTTAAGTATATCTAGATTTTTATTCAAATACTCTACCGAATTGTATACCAAGTTTCGCCGTTTTGTCACAAGCTGGTTTCAGATATTTTATTTTAATTTAGAACAAAGCATAAAATTGGGGCATTCAAAGGAGTAACAAACCGAAGACAAAAAGAAAATATTATACGATAATATAAATAAGAATAAAGATGAATATATCTAGATTCCTGCGCAGCTCGCTTTTTTTTTAAGTAAAAACGTTGTTCATATCGGATGCGCTCGCATGCAAATGTGACAGGTTTAGTGCACTGTGTCGCAACCGACGACAAGGGGACGGGAACGACGGGGGGCTTTTTCGAAATTCTGTCACGGCGCGCCGGCGGCGCGTGTAAAAACGCGAGATGCAGCCGCTCGTGACGACCTTTGATCGCGCTTGCTTGCCTGTCGGATTGTCGAATCTGGTGACGCCGGAAAATACATACGGAACGGCGTGGCGTGGCGCGGCCGTGTCGCCAGAACGACGGAGGAAATGACAAAACGACCCGTCGTTTTGTGCCTCTCTGTGTCTACGATTTTATCGTATGCCGTGCACGACCACCTGCACAACCCCGGAACGTGTCCGCCGCGCAAGCTGAACTCGAAAATCGTCGGAAGGACTGCGTTACGCAATCGCAGAATTATCTCTGCGCGATAGCAGACAGGTGGATGAAAAATTGAGGAATTTGTGAATAATAATACCATTTTGAAAAAAAAAAAAAAAAAAAAAACAGATCTCCAATTTCTACAAGGTGTGTCGAGAGTTGCCCACATTTTTGTTTCATTTAAAGATTCTCATTTGGTAGTCAATATTTTAATATATGCACATGTATCATAAGTCGCGCCTCATCTCTGGAGAATGAGTTGACGAAGACAAAATAAGTCAAAAATAAAGAATGACGAAATTACGTTTGAGCTTTCTTTAAAGAGTCAAGTAATCGAAAAATTTATTTGGATTATTATTTTTATTTGAATTAAAAGTTTGTAATTGTTTTGATAACAATAAGAACTTGAGAATTTTTTAGAAGTTATACTAAAGAAGTATACTTTAAAAGTTATTTGATTGAAATTCTTTAAAGAAGGCTCAAACGTAATTGAGTCATTTTTTATTTTCGATTTACTTTGGCTTTGTTGATTCATTCTCCAGAGATGGGTTGTGACTTATGATACACTCTATATAAATATATTAATTTTAAAAGCGGTTTTTCAAAAGTAAAAGCGACAGCTTTAAAAAAGAACTGTGTTACAATTTTATATTTTATATATGGAATTTCTTTGGCGGGACATTAATGCCGAAAGAGATATAATTCGACAAGTGGAACATAATCCGACAATGTCTGTTGTTTTAAGAAAAAAGATATGGAAAGAATACATGGAGCAGCTGCACCATGTTTCACCGAAGAGGAACGGCGATTATTTTGGAGTTGTCGTGCCTCCCGTCGTCGTCGCTTATCTCGATAACGCGTCGCGATAAGCGATAAATTGAAACCGAGAATTTCGATTTTCGCGTTCAGTCGCACCGGAGGCGAGGACGGAGTCGTCGAAATACGCAGGGTATTAACGTTAAAAGTGCAAACCTAGTTCCATCTGTCAATTTTCAAACCGATAAGCTTCTGCACTTCCGTCATTACTGCAAAATTGTCCTGCACGGCACGAGATAATAATTGCGCATATACGGGGTGTCCTGAAACCGTCGATCTTAATTCTACCAGCAGACAGTATTTTAGACACCTTGAGAATACTTAATTATAATTCGAATAAGATCAAAGAAAATTTTTTTAGCGGAATGTAGAATTAATTAAATAACTTTTTATTTTATTCGAAAGTAAAATTAAAAATATTTTTAATATCGATTCCAATTTAAGAGATTGAAGGAACGATTTCGTAGAAGTTTATAACTTTTTGACCATCAAATACAATGAGATTCGTATTTTGTTTCCGAATATACATTCTGATAACGCTCGATAGCCATTTATCAGAATTGTTTATCTGAAGCTTTAACTTGAGAGATCCTCACGGACCACTGTTTGGACTACGACCAATCCTCAATCCTTATCGACCGTCATGGCACTTTTGTTGCTTCTTCCGTCAATAATGCGCGGCTTAAAATAAGACCGAGAATCGCCGGGACTGCTAAGAATCTCCATTCAGCATACGTGGTAGAGCGGAAGTCAGGACGGACGGACACGATTCATTCGCCGGAAACTTCTCCGAAAGACACGGTGCTAGAAAGTATGTCCGCGCCAGCAGAAGCTGTCGTCGGCGATTTGCGTTCCGCATAAGCGCGCGAGAATGACACACGGATTCATTTTGTCTTTACAGCACTATAGCTCGCTCGCATCGATCGCTCTCGTTGCGAATTTCAATGTGAATCTGCGCTTTCGTACGGGATAATTCCGCGAAACTACCGGATATCCGTTTAACTATAGATATGCCTTGTTCAATTTGAAGTCGATTTTCTCTCAGCGAAGAAATCGAGGAAGGTCGTCGTTTACCGCAATTTTCTAATATTATGTATTTTTTTAAGAAAGAATCAAATCGAAATTAAATTAAAATCTTGGTAAAGAATACTTAAAATTGTTTAATTAATGTTGTCCAAGGCTTAATTTGAAAAGGATTCTTTGATTTAAACAATTAATTCCCCGAAAGTTATCAACGACAATCTCCATGCTTTTGTTGAAAGAATATTAATTTTAAATCAGCTGAGGAATTAATTGTGAAATAGCTAGAAAAACGTCGGGTGATCTCAAGATAGCCTACATACTAAATGACATTTCTCATAAATAATTTAATTATATTTCTCGCGTTAGAATTATAATTTATATCTATTATACGAAACGTTCCAGCTAATGCACTTTCTCTCTTCTCTATCTAAAACGAAGACTAAAGTAACGACGATGGAGAATAGAGCGGAGTGTATCATCTCGATCGTATAATCGTATGTTCCAGAGTGAAGCTCGGGATGGAGAACCAACAGGTGTGGGTCCGTGACCCCCAGGAGGGTTTCATAATCGGGAAATTCACGGACATGGTGGACGGGGACGCCCTGATCGTGCCCCTCGACCCGAAATATCCGCAACGCACCTGTCCGCTGGACGAAGTACATCCTGCCGGCGAATATACCAAAGATGTCGAGGACAATTGTAAATATTCCCGCGGCACATGCGCGTTATCTCGTGATTTTACGAAAAAGAGAGAAAGGAAAAATTCCGAGAAACGGTTCGACCTCGTAAAGGCAACGAGGCTGATTTTACGCCGCGGATGTTATGAAGGAAGAGAGAACGGAGCGAAAAGATATAGCGTTATAGCGCCTGTTTACTCGCGATTGCTCCCTCCGATTGTTATACACCGTGACGTGCCTGTGCGTTTCGTCCATTTTATACATATATCAGAAGATTAAGATCGCGCGGTCACGCTCGCTTCTCACGCGAGACTTTCGCTCTTTTGCAAAGGCACTTTCACTGATTTTTTTCTCCTCCTCATCTCCTTTTTCTCTAAATTGTCTTCCCCCAGGTGCCCTGATGTACCTGAACGAGGCCACGCTGCTGAATAATATTCGCACTCGCTACTTCAAGGACAGGATATACGTGAGTAATTACGGCGGCGACGCTGAGAGGTCGAGTCGCTCTCCCTGCGTTTCTATTTTTTAATCTCTCGGTTCCGCTATTAAATTTCAGACTTACGTCGCCAACATTCTGATAGCCGTGAACCCGTATTACGAGGTAAAGGATCTCTACTCGCCGAGGACCATCAAGTCTTATCAGGGAAAGTCCTTGGGTGAAACGCCACCGCACGTCTTCGCCATCGGTACGCGCATAATGACCCCTCTGGCACCCCCTTTCCCCATTTGATACGCTCCTGACGAGAATACAGAGCAATTTTCCTTTATCTTCGCAGGCGACAAAGCATTCAGAGACATGAAAGTGCTGAAACAATCTCAGAGCATTATCGTATCCGGCGAATCGGGAGCGGGTAAGACCGAGTCGACCAAGTATCTCCTGCGGTACCTCTGCGATCTCTGGGGCTCGACGGCCGGCCCGATCGAACAAAGGATTCTCGATGGTAAACAAAAGAATTATAAGAACTTGATGAAATCAGCAAAGTGTAATTCAAATCAATTAACACCGTGTGAAGACGTGTGCAAAAAATTGCGCAAGCTGAGATGTGTCCTAAGAAAATATTTTCGTTGCGGTTCAACAAGTTAAAATTCAAATTATGACGCTTTTTTTTTTTTTGCTACAATTAATCCGCAGCGACTCCGGTGTTGGAAGCGTTCGGCAACGCGAAGACAAAGCGCAACAATAACAGTTCGCGTTTCGGCAAGTTCATGGAGGTGCACTTCGACGCCAAGTGCCAGGTGGTCGGCGGGTACATCTCCCACTACTTGCTGGAGAAGTCCAGGGTGTGCCTGCAAAGCCCGGACGAGCGGAACTACCACGTGTTCTACATGATGTGCGCTGGCGCGCCGGCCGATCTGCGCGCGAAATTGGGCATCACCAAGCCGGACGACTTTTATTATCTAAGGAATGGCTGCGCCCAATATTTCTGCAACGCGAGATCGGAGAAACGATTGAACGAGGCGCAAAAGAGTCGCGAGCAGATACAGAAGGGCAGCCTCCACGATCCCATCTTGGACGATGTTGAAGGATTCAACGCTATCGATCAGGTATACGCTGGCGAAATTTCTTCTAATGTGCGACATAAATCACATGATCGAACAAATTGAAAACTTGAAAAATTTCCGATGATTATTTATTCTCATCTTATTGATAAATGTCTAAGCTTTCTTATCTTGTGCACTATTATTTTAATAACTTTCCACGTTTCTAAATTCTTTATTATCTCTGATGAAACTTCTTCCACACTGCGACATAAATCACATGATCTTCAAACAACCTGAAAACTCGAAAAATCTTCGATAATTATTTCTCATCTTGCTGATAAATTGTTCTAAGCTTTCTTATTCTTTGCGCTATTATTTTAATCATTTTCCGCGTTTCTAAATTCTTTATTATCTTTCTTATATCAAAGGCGTTTACCCGACTCGGTTTAACGGATGCCGAACGCATGGAGATTTACACGATGGTGGCCGCGGTGCTTCATCTCGGCAACATCACGTTCGAGGACAATCCGGAGGACACAAAGGGCGGCTGCAGAATAACCGCCGACTCCGGAAAAGCGGTGACGATATCCGCAAAATTACTGGGGGTTGATCCCGAGGAGCTGCGACAAGCTCTGGTATCGAAAGTGATGCAAACCAGTCGGGGTGGCATTAAAGGAACGGTCATTATGTGAGTGCACAAAAATTTCAAATAATATACCTGTTTTTATTGTTTTTTTTTTACGGATTTAAATATTTCTTAAATTTTCTTTTATAATGCAACCTTCCTCGAGTGCTTTTACTGATTTGTCTAATCGCGACAGGGTGCCCCTGAAGGTTTACGAAGCCAATAACGCTAGGGACGCCTTGAGCAAGGCTATTTATAGCAAACTGTTTGATCACATTGTCGCGCGGATCAACAAGAGCATACCTTTCAAGGCCTCGAGTTACTACATCGGTGTGCTAGATATCGCAGGATTCGGTAGGAAAATTATTCTCGATCAGCGAACTTTCTTCCGGATTGTATAAAAACGAATCGCAATGATGATTTTTCTTTCTCGCACGTGTTTGCAGAATACTTTAAAGTCAACAGTTTCGAGCAGTTCTGCATAAACTACTGCAACGAGAAGCTTCAGCAGTTCTTCAACGAGCGGATCCTGAAGTACGAGCAGGAGCTTTACGCCCGAGAGTCCTTAAACGTCCCGAAAATCTCCTACGTCGACAATCAGGATTGCATCGGTGCGTGAAATTGAAATTGCGTGATAGAGTGCAAAATCACAAATTCGAACACTTGTTCCTCAAAATAAAAAAGCACAAATCATGTAATTATCAAATAATGAATTATACAGATTATCTTTTTATTTTTAATATAAAGCTAATTTAGAGGCGGTGTCGTTTTATCTGAATAAATTCTTTCAAAGTTTTACTTAAGATTTCACGGATAAAAATGATAAATAGTTAAATATAGTACTTCCGCTTATAGATTTTAAAGATAAATCGCGTGTCACGCTAACTTTCAGATTTAATCGAATCGAAGAATACGGGTATCTTCAGCCTGCTGGACGAGGAATCGAAACTGCCGACTCACAGTTTTGCGCATTTCACCAACGAGGTTCATCGCGCATGGAGCGGTCATTTCCGCATCACTTTACCGCGAACGTCACGATTGAAGGCTCATCGAGAATTACGAGACGACGAGGGCTTCGTGATTCGCCATTACGCCGGTGGTGTTTGCTATCAAACGGTAAAGCAATGTGTTGCCCACAAAATAGTGTATAAAAAACGTTATAAATCGAAGTCATATTTGTTTAATAAGCACTTCCTGATTTCCTTTAGACGCATTTTGCATCTTAGCGTTCGGAAAGAAATCTATATATATCTGTATCTTACACAAGTAAAGAATCATATCTCCAGTTTTTACCAAAATGGAGTTAATACATTTTTTAATACAACAGCAGCTTAAATTGTATAATGGTAAAGTGTCTATTACTAGTTCCTAAGATACAATGTTTAGAAAAAAGTCGTATTGAAAATTTTTATAGTGCTTAATTTTTAAATCAGATGCAATGTGTTATTGACAGTTATACTATTAAATCAAATTGGAATCAAAAGCCATACGATCCAAGCTTGGATCGTATGGTTTTTGATTCTAATTTAATTATATATCGTAACAGTCCTATTTCTCTGATTGTTATTTAATAAATCAAGTTGCTACTTTTTATATCTAAAAAGATATATTATTTCCCTATTTAAAACTTTAAACCTTGTTTTCTCTGAATTCATAATGTAGATATGATATTCTTTACCTCTAAGGTAAAGCATGTAACAAATATATGTATATATACCTATATAAAACTGTGAGTTTATATTTTATTCCCGCAGAATCAGTTCATTGAAAAAAACAACGATGCGTTGCACGCCTCCCTGGAAGGGCTCATTCAGGAAAGCGGTAATAAATTTCTCAGGACGCAGTTCGCCAATCATTCGTTGCAAAAGGGGAAGCTCACCTTCATCAGCGTCGGTAGTAAGTTCAAGACGCAGCTCGGCGAACTTATGGACAAGTTAAAAAGCAATGTAAGGATAAAGATTTTTTAAACTTACAGAATTTCTACTGAATGCTTCAACTTTTTTATTTACAATTCTTATCTGAATTTTTTTTTAGGGAACAAATTTCATAAGATGCATCAAGCCGAATAGCGATATGGTGGCGCATCAGTTCGACGGCAACAGCATTATGAATCAGTTACGCTGCTCGGGAATGACGTCGGTTCTGGAATTGATGGAGCACGGATATCCGAGTCGGGTGCCGTTCCACGAGCTTTACAACATGTACAAGTCGTACTTGCCACCGGAGCTCGCCAAGCTCGATCCAAGATTCTTCTGCGAGGCGCTGCTGCACAGCTTAAAGCTGAACCAGAAGGACTTCAAGTTCGGCATCACCCGAGTCTTCTTCAAGCCGGGCAAGTTCGCGGAGTTCGACCGGATCATGAGGTCCGATCCGGAGAATCTGCGCAAGCTGGTCGCCAACGTGAAGAAGTGGTTGCTGAAGTCGCGCTGGAACAAGCTGCAGTTCTGCGCGTTGTCGGTGATCAAACTGAAGAACAAGATCATCTATCGCCGGCAGCATTTGATCGTCTTGCAAAAAACGGCGAGAATGTACATCGCGAAGAAGCAGCATCGGCCGCGTATCCGCGGTATCATGAAGATTAAAAATCTGCGGAAGCAGCTGACGCGAATGGAGGAGACCGCGAGTCAATTGAAGAATCGAGAGCGATCGACGCAGGACATGAAGAGGCTCGACGACGATCTAGAGGCGGCTATACGCAAGATCAAAAACAATCCGAGGATTGCGCCGACGGAGATCGACGGTCTCTACACGTCTTTAGTGAATCAGGTGAACAAGCAAATGGCCTCTCTTCAAGATATGGTGAAGCAGCAAAAAGTCGCCGAGGAACAGGCGAGATTGAGGAAGATTCAGCAAGAGCTCGAGCTGGAGAAGAAACGAAAGGAGGAAGAAGAACGTAGGAAGAGAGAGGAGGAGGTGAACAGGCGGAAAAAGTTGGATATGGAAGCCAGGAGAAAGATCGAGGAAGAGCAAAGGAGGAAACAGGAGGAGGAGGATCAGAAGACCGCGGCTGCTCTCCAGGTTCGTCGAATTTCTATATAACCGCACTAATTTATAAACAAGTAATTTCAATATAAAAATTTAAAATATTATCTTTGTAGTTGCAAATTGTATATACAGTTACAAATTGTTTAGCTTATTACTTTTAAATTCGAAAAATAATTAATATTCGACAAGAAAATAATATTTTTGTTTGCCAAAGAATGTCTGACAAATAATCAGACAATTTTTCGTAAGTGATTATTAATATACATTATGCTCTTATTAAGGCCCAATTGGAGAAGGAAGCCATGGAAGAAAGTCGGTATCGAGAATTACTGGAGCAAGAAAGAAGAGACCACGAATTGGCGGTCAGGCTTGCTCAAGAATCGAATGGACAAGTCGAGGATTCTCCGCCGCCTATACGAAGGTAAAACCTTTAGTTTATTATTATTAAAATTAAATATTAGACAGATGTATTAAAGAAATCGGCCTTGGATAGTATCTCGATAATTACATTAATTAATATGATTTAAGCCAACTATGCGGTTTATTACTGATTAAACTAATTATATATTGATTAAGTGTATCGATATCAGTTAAACTTTTATCTAACTGTAATTTCATCGGTATCTAATTGATAATATATATATACTGTATTCAACTCATCCGTTCAAATACGATTTTGGCGTCGCGAGAAGAATCATATAGAAAGTTGTTGAAACAGAAATAAGATTATTTTGTTGTTTAAATTGACACAGTGGCTCCGACGTACGAGCACCTATGAACAACAACAGGCTAATAAGGTATCGTATAAATTACTCGGGTTTCTTGCATGAAAGACTAATGACTAATGACTAACGATTCTTCACTCCCCCCCTTTCCTCAAATGAATTAATCCTTGTCGTGACTTATGCTCATTTTTCATTGGCCATTCTTCGATGAACCTTATTTCGCAAATAAATCCAGTCGAAAGAAAACGCGTTATTCCTCGAAGAATCTGTCATGGAAAATAGATGATGATTCTCTTTTCATACATTTCCAGGCATGCTATACTAATCGCAGAGATTTATTTTAAAATTTCAGCTTTTTGCGTAGATTTCTCTTTACTCACTCTGAATCGCGTGAGCCAATATAATTTCAATTATATAATTTCAAATCATTCTTATTTCGCACTAACTTTCCCATAGATTAACGCGCCGCGTGTCTTAGCGTGTCTCGGCGTGTCCTAATCTTAAAAAGTGTTGCGTCACGAAATATTGTGAAACCGCGATTACATATTATTTTCTTATGTACGTACATCTGTCATGCGATGTAGATCGGAGCAGGTGCGTAACCAGCAGGCGGCTATGAGCAACAAGAAGTACGACTTGTCCAAGTGGAAGTACTCGGAGCTGCGGGATGCAATCAATACGTCCTGCGACATCGAGCTACTTGAGGTACGTGGACGCATACATATTTATCGGTTGAATAACCGTAATTTTTTTTATTTGAAAAAAAAAAAACTCGCTTGTTCCAGGCCTGTCGTCACGAGTTTCATCGCAGACTGAAAGTTTATCACGCCTGGAAGGCGAGAAACCGCAGGAGAACCATCATGGACGAGAACGAGAGAGCGCCGAAGTCCATCATGGAAGAGGGTAAATAATTATGATCACTGCAAATGAATAATAATGAAATAGTGTTAATTGCAATTAGATTGGTACATTAATTAGCAATAGTCCAGTGAACACCGAACATTACACTAAATAATGTAAATAAAAAAAAATAACATAGATAATGTAACATAGATGTAAAACTGATGCTTGATGTTTACTGGAAGATTGATAGCGATTGGTGACTGATAAAATATTATGCGACCGGCCTTGCAAGCGATATTTCAAGCGAAAGGTGTTGCATTTTCCAGCTGCGAAAACACCGAGGACACCGTTGAAGCAACAGATAGTCGAGTCGTCCCAGAGATACTTCCGAATCCCCTTCGTCCGTTCCTCCGCGGCCGGACAGCAGGAGAACCCGCACGGCGGCGGTAAGCGGGGCTGGTGGTACGCGCACTTTGACGGGCAATACGTGGCGCGACAAATGGAGCTTCATCCCGATAAACCGCCGATACTCCTCGTGGCAGGTGAAGTCCCCGGTCATACGTTGCATTTATGTCTTTCCATGTATTTACCATGCTCATGCTAATACGAATGCTCTGCATTGCAAATAACGTTCTGAATCGCGGCAGTAAATTCCGAAACTAATGAATAACGATTAGGTCAGGTCAAAGCAATCAGTCTTGTGAGACGATGATTAAACGTAGCTAACGGCGATAAAGGAAATAAAATATAAAATTATAGAGAACTGCAGAAACTAGAATGATTACTTATACTTATTCATTAGGTACTAAGGGGTATTTATGACTTCGCAGAAGTCTCCGAACAGAAATGCTTTTAATTTGTATTTATACTTTGCACGTTGAGTCACCCTGTTATAATACAATTTTCATTTCAAAGAAATTGTTCTTCTCTTCGCCAGGTATTGACGATATGCAGATGTGCGAGTTGAGCCTGGATGAGACCGGATTAACGAGGAAACGCGGTGCCGAAGTTCTGGAACACGAATTCAACCGCGAATGGGAAAAGTACGGCGGTAAACCGTACGTGGCGCCGTGCGATCGTAAAAAGTGAGGAATTCGTGACGGGAGTCACGTGTGTGGGAGAATGATATATTTTTGCGTCATCACGTCGTGGAAAAAAAAGAAAGAAAAAACGCTGCATAAATCAACGCGATAATTTGCGATGATATCTTTCCTACGTAGTTTCTCGCCCGATGAATACATTGGCGATTCTGTGCCTTGCGAGATGTGCCTTGTGCATTATGGCACGGACGATACATTTCTATTGTAAATTACATGTATTGTAAATTACGTCACAGTTACGTAAGTCGAAGAATTTTTTCGTCGATATTCGATATTATCGAATATTAAAAGTCCTATTTTCTTTTAGAATTAATTAGCTGTTCTAGAAATTGTGTCGACCTGATTCAGTATTCCATAACGCGTTTCATAAAAAAAATATATTTAAAAAAATTGGCGACATCGTATAACTCTAAAAAACGTGAAAATTATCACAGTTTGCTTTTTCGCCGTCAAGTTTTGCAATTTAAAACAGTCATTATAAACTATCAGATCAAGATAAGAAGATATAGCGGGAGGTTCCTTACGTTAAGCTTATGCATTGTTAGCATACATTTGTAAACTATAAAAATATAATTTTGGAATTTTCAAGATTCGTTTACATTAGTTTAATGACGATATTTAGTAGATATGTAAGTCATTCGGAAGAAAGATGGTAGTAAAGAGAAAACGTACATGAGCGATTTATTACTGTTACTTGTATCGCGCAAGTTGAATGATTGCGAACGCGGTGATATATCGAGTTAAATTTCGCAAAGATCTTGCGCGATGAATAATAGTTATGAAGCGGTAGTGATCTCATTCGGGTGATCTATTAGAATCCACGTGGTTGCGCATATGAATAGTTACACGATATTAATAAATATTTATACATATAGTATATATAATATATATTAATAAATATTTAGTAACAGAGAGCATGTATTTTTTATTTAGAAACATTATATTTTCAGATTTGTTTGGAAATATTGTAAGAGAAATGACCGCAACAGATCGTTATCTTATTTGCAACTTGCAGCAAAGATACAACCCTCAACTTAATTGAACTTATTTACAAAATAAATTAAAAGCTTTCAAACATTCATTAATCACTTATCGATACTGATGGTGGTACCCACCCACCGAAGGCCATCTCCAGCTCTTTCGCAACCGCCAGGCAGAGACGGTCTTGATAAGGCGCGGCTATGACCTATAAGTTTTTATATGCATTACGCATCGAAGCGATTATTTTACTCTGCTTGATGTCGTACACGTATTTTAAATTTTTTTAATTGCAAGAAGTAGAAGAACCTTGATCTTTTGACCAGTGGAATTTACCTGAACGCCTATGGGCATCCCCTCGTGATTAAGTCCCATCGGCACGTGCGCCGCGGGAAAGCCGACAATATTGAAGAAACCGCAGCTCGAAGCGGACAGTATTTCGCATAATATAAACTGTGAAAGAACCGGATTTCGGAAGGTGGGGTAAATAAATACTCCGTTGTCCCCCAACAAGTCCTGCGGTAGGGACAAAGAGAGAAAACGGCACATGTATAACGGCACTGGTAACAAATTGACTCGTATAGACATGATAACTGTGTCAGACTTCCAGGACACTAACCAGCAGGTTCTGTCGAATCTCCTCTCCCTGCTTCGTGTAATGCGATATTTCTGAATCCGTGAATGGGAAATGCGTCTCAATCAGTAGATTGAAGAAAATCATCTGCTTCGTGTGTTGCGACAGGCCGAACAGAGCTTTCAGCAACTCGACCGATACGTTTTTCTGGTGCTGCAAAAAACAATATCAATAGCACAATCCTTACGAGAAAATACTACAGAAAAGCTACTGTAGTTGTGAAAAAACTATACACGAAACTATGGTGAATATTACAGCAATTACTATAGTCTTATGTGTGGGTTTTTTTTTTTTTCTTTTAACTATAGTAGTTTTTCCATAAGGAGAAATAGCATATTATAAGCATATCTTTTACATTTAGATATACTACGTGTAAATATACATTTAATGTAACAATATATATAAATATAAACACAATATATATTTATAAAATGGAAGATTATATATTAATTTTATAATTACATTAATTATTAATATTATATTAATCTTCCGTTTTATTTGTCTCGATTCCTGTGATATTCTAAATGATAATGATATTTATGTATCGTAACAATGATAAAATAACACATTCCACTTCTGAAATAAACGTTGCGGCAATACTACGCTATACGCGGCTGCAATACCGTAATGCTTCGCAGTGAAATACGTCCGCGTTTTTTTCACCGCGATATGGAAAGGGCACGAACGTGACGTGACTTTCACGTACGGAAAATAAGCTGGTTATAATTATAAATTTTCCTCCTCCATCTCTACGTAAGACTACATTTTAGCAACAGTCAGCGAGGCATTAAAAGTCTTAAATTATTTAATATAACGATCCTCGTGTATATTTTACAGCGGAAAAATAAACCGCTCGTCTTGTATACCTTGGGATTGTTCGTGTCTATCAGCATTTGAGGGGGCTTCATATTCATGAACCCCGCTATCACAATTTCGATGATTGTCACTGGCCACTCTATTGGTAACTGTAACGTCAAATTAACGTATACGTTAAATCTCTTGCGTATACACACCGGTACCCCGCTGCGAAACACTGTTACCTTCTCCGCGCAGACGTCATACCGCGCGAAATGATTAGCGGCTCTCAGAACGCACTTCTCAATTTCCGGCGTCATCGGCAAAACGCCGAGGGACCTGTCCAAACTTTGTCGATAGTAAATCTTTATTTGTCTCAAGTCCACCGGCACATCTAGACGCAGGTCGCGATTGCATTTCAATGTCATCACTCTCATAAGCAGGCCGAGATCCTCGGCGTATCTAGTCATCGGGCCGAAAGTCGTGAACTTTTGAAAGTATTCGTCATCGGTGTATGGGAAGTGTCCATCGATCGGAATAAGTCCTGCAAGACAAGGAGAGAATGCAATTAATATTATATAGCGGACTTTTTAATTTTTAACTTTATGGGAAGTGTCCATCACTCACGGAATAAGTCCTGCAAGACAAGAAGAGAATGCAAAATTAATATTACACAGCCGTCTCTTTTAATTTTTTATTTTATCTCGAACATTATAATGAATTTGTAAAATATCTCTTTTTTTCAATAATAGGCTTTTTAACATATATAATCAATGTTACCAAAAAAATAATCTAAAGAAAATAGATTCAATTAAAGGATTTAAGTCTAATAAGGTCCCTCAAAGGATCAGTGATGAAAGAATGTAGAATACAAACATATTAAAGAATATCGATTTACCAGGTGTGGGTTTGTGTCCAAAAACGCCATTCAAGAAAGACGGTACTCTTATAGAGCCAGCCATGTCCGAACCAAGTCCGATCACAGAAGCACCTGCCCCGAGCAGCGCACCCTTAAACAAGAATTTATTTAAACGTTATTTTTTTTTTATTTAGAGCGTATCAAATCGTTTCATTTTAAACAGGAGTTATAAATACAATTTATTTAGTAATTTAGTCGATACATATCTTAGTTGGATAATATTTAGATAACAAAGTAAGGATATTGCGTGGTGCTGCGTTTATGTTTCCCGAGAAAGGAAAGTGCTCTGAGTGAAAGTAGTTTTATGAGTAATAAAAGACAACGTATCTCTCGCTCGCGTAAGATTGTTGGAATTTCGATGTTTCGAAGTTATCACCTGGAAAATGGATTCTCGCGGATAATCTGCGTTCGTAACCGATGAAGCAATAACTTTGCTGGTCGGTTTTTTTTATAAACTGGAGGAAAAGGTTTCTTTTCTTGTAACACACTTTACGTTATTCTTTCGATCTACCTCGTCTATTTTATACACAGAAGAAAAGAAGTGTCAAATCAAAATATACTCGTATTCTATGGAACAATCTATGATTCTTCTTATATAAGAATTTCTATTTTTTATTTCAACTTTCTTTTTAGTCGAATATAAGTGACTTCATCCAAGCAAGTTAGCAAGTTTTCGTCTAACGCAATATGTCTCTTTCATATGTCTCATGTCAAGATTATAAATTGTGTATATACTGAGTATAATAAATCTTGATCTGACATTTCTTTTTTTTCTGTGCATAAACAATGATTTCTCAAATATTTAATGATCAGAAAGCTGAATTACTTCTCCACCGGACGATCCACCGGCGGAATATCTAGTGTCGTAAGGATTACAAGTGCGGCCGAAAAGCAGATTCGTGCTGTCGAACCCGCCGCACATCTCCGGCGTGTTCGTGACGCACAGCGGTATCGCGCCGGCATTTCGGAGCATCTCGACGACCACGGCATCGCGGTCCGCCTTCACCCCTTTGAGAGGCAAAGTGCAACCTGTGTAGCTGCAACCTGCAATCGTATAGTAAACGTTTATTTATACAGAAAAAAAAGAAGTGTTAAATCAAGACTTATATTCTTGTATATAAGCAAGAATCTATAATCTTGAAATAAGATATAAATTGCGTTAAACGAAGAAAACTTGTTTGATTAAAGGTATTTATATAGTTTAATCAAGAAAAAAAAGTTGAAATTCTTGTAAGAGAATTAATTGTAAGAGATTCTTGCTTAGGTACAAGAATATACGTCCTTGATTTAACACTTCTTTTTTTCTGTGTAACTGTTAAATAAAATTGCCCACAAATACTCGCTTTAATGTACTTAATTAATATATTCAATATAATTTAAGCTTGCGTTTTCTATTTCTGTACATTTTTATATGTATATATATGTATGTGATTTTTTTAAATGTAAAGAGATACAATGAATAAAGTATTAACATCGAGGAATTCATACCTTTTAAAGCACAACATTCTTTGATGGTAATTGGAACGCCATAGAGCGGCTTTTCCTTTTCTAAAGTCTCGACATCGAATTTGCCCTCTTTCAATTGTTGGTCGCAGGTTTTCGCCTCAATTATCGCGTCGAGAAATCGATTGTCAACGACAGCGTTTAGGAAAGGATCTACTTCTTTGATGCGCGTTACATACGCTTGCACCACTTCGTAGCTCGTAATCTGTTTTTTTTTTAAATACATTTAAATACGTTTAAGATAATTTCTATTTATAGAAACTTCCTAAGGACATACTTTGTATCTATAGGGGAACGGGGGGTAGCCCCGGACATGATTGAAATTCAAGTATACCGCGTATCTATGGCCATTGTTTAAACATTATAATATGCCCTTCTGCGTATCTCGACATGTGCAGAATGTTTAAACAATGGCCATAGATACGCGGTATACTTAAATTTCAATAATGTCCGGGGCTACCTACTGTCCGGTACTACTCCCCGTTCCTCTACATGTTACAAAGTATAGCGAATTGTAAAAATAAAAATTTATCGTAATAATTATATGCAACTGGCACAAAGTAAAGGAATAACTATCGCTAAAAATATAGCGAATAACTCACCTCTCTCTGTCTGATTTTCTTAGCGATCGTCGTGGCACTTAACATATATATGGAGTGAGTAATCGGTGGTATACTTGGCGGTTTCTTGTAAATAAATAACAAGATCCGACGAAATATTTCATATATGGCATTTATGACGCAGAACACATAACGTATTTTCAACAACATTGCCTGTAAGGTAAACACTTTTTATTTAAAATGTATAAATTAATACATAAATTATTTACGCTAATTGACATAAACAGTTAAACTCAGACGATTTGACTTTTAAGCCAAAAAAATGTTTAAATACCCGCCGGTTTTGACGTACGTCGATATCTATATTTGAAGAACCGATGTGCTTATCAGCGAAACATAGAACGGCCGAGATTAGTATTACGCAATTGCGCAACAAAGTTTTAAAATCATGGACACACCTCACACACCGCATTATCAACAACCGTACATACATATAGCTTTGCGATGCTGGCTAGGTGGTCTTATTGAATTTCGCGTCACGGTTCGCGGAGCTCCGGATAATCGTAACCATAAGTCTATCGCGTGCCTGGCGCGCACGTAGATCATTGAATAACAATGCCATGGCTTCTTTCGCAATCGGCCGCGACTAGATATTTCGGGATCAATAATCGTACATCACGTTCGCATCTGCGGCGTAGGTAAATCGGAACGCGTTTTTCCAAGGCCTCGCGCCACACTTTCTTCCTCCCCCTTTCCTCCCCATGAAATTTTATAATTTAATCTCGTTTATTATAAGGATAAAAAAATTATATATATTTCTTTTTAATTCTCATGAATATAGAAACCGGGCTAACTAAAAACCAGCGCGGTAAATGATGCGCGAAAGTTTTATTTTTATTTTTATTTTACATATTTTCCAACCTTTGACTGCGTGCCGACTAGATTTGTCAGACTTGAAACACAGCTCCGGTTGGAGTGGTAAAATCCTCTACCTACACCTAATTAAATCGATTCGATTTAATTTTTGATGATATATATGCATCTATAAATATAACTGTAAAGAAAGGAGAGGATTTTACTACTCCAACCGGAGCTGTGTTCCAAGTCTGACTTATCTAATCGGCACGAAGTCAACGGTTGGAAAATATGTAAAATAAAAATAAAAATAAAAATAAAACTTTCGCGCATTATTTACCGCGCTGGTTCTTAGTTAGCCCGGTTTCTATATGTGCGAATTTCTATTGGAACCTATACTTCGCTTTTTAATTCTATTCTAAAAATTATATTTTTTTTTATCTTTATAATACAAATATATATTATATGTATATGTAATATGTGTACATCGTATTCGATAATCCGCAAGTGTTTTTTTACGTCTGCGTCAACGAAGAGCTCGGTATTTCAACATGGTAATAAACTCTCGTCTGTTTTTTCGCTGTTTTCTGCGGAAAAAGGAATGACTAAACGCTCGTGTAAATTGACCGACGCGACGCGACCCGGGGACTGCTCTTTGGTCAAGTACACTCCCATACGGACACTTGCGCGACGTACAAAATATCTAGACCCGGATACATGGAGCTACGTGTGTATCCTGAATAATTCAATTCTTCCCGCGCGGGGTGCCATGTAAGGCGATTTCCTCATCATCATCGGCCGCGAACGTAGACGAAAGAAAGCTTTCGCTCTCGACAATATTCAGCGCGATCCTCGCGCGGACGGTTTCGACATCCACGACAAAATCGGCCTCATCGGTCACATCGAAAACGCCTTCTCCAGCACGAAAATTATTACGGAAGATTAGATTCGACAATCTCAAGATCGTGACAATCGTCGGTTTTCTCGTGTTTTCACTAAATTGCACGAAGACTCGCGCGGAACGTGTAAAAAAAAAAAATACTCCCTTCTGCATAATTAAGTCATTAAAGTTGTCAACTATATTTTATATTATATTTCGAATGCATAATTTCTTGCGATATCGGAAATTATCTTTTAATCGGTCGTGACTTTCCGCATTGCGCAGGAAAAACTGATACACCAGAGTTGGCTCCGATAAATATCAATTAAAATATATTACGTAAGCGCGAAATACTGAGAGAAGTGTTTGTTCCGATGAAACCGTTGTTGATAACAATATATTTGTTACAACAATTCAGACATCATTAATTATAATCCTACGAAGAAAATATGCTGAGAAAATATCAATTAATAATTGAGCAAATGATAATACATCAGAGTCGATGTATTCATTAATTAAGATTCACACATTATTTGAAGTATCTATACAAATATTTATCTTATCGGGTTTCGAGACGTTTGGCTCCGGATATCAAGTGCTTACTTTATTCAGTATCGTCATGTAGAAGCGAATATAGTTGGTGCTTTTTAATGATAGACGACACGTACGCCTTACTAATCAAGAACGCGATATTCAAACGTAGTTGTTTTTGTTC